GTCGGTTAAGCGGTGGTCAACAGCGCCGGGTGTCGATCGCCATAACTATGATTCACAGACCGAGACTTATTATACTGGATGAGCCCACTGTGGGGGTCGACTCACTGCTCAGACATAAGATATGGCAATACTTGGAGTACATGTGCGCTAATTATGGTATATATACAATAGACACTAATAAATTTATTTTTATGAATTAAATAATATTTCTATTTTTAGGCCAAACAGTAATAATAACGACTCATTATATAGAGGAGGCCCGAAAAGCGGCAAACGTGGCGTTTATGAGCGCCGGTACTATATTGAAACAATCGGAGCCCAACCATCTCATGTCAGAATACCAGTGCTCGACACTTGAGGAGGTCTACTACAAGCTATGTATCAATCGTCGTAATTCTCAAACACCAAAACATACGGAAACTAACCGCAAGATCAGCGCAAATGAGACTACAATTGCCGACAAAACTAACTCTCCATCCGATGAGCGCTTTATAGACATAACACGCGTTAAGGCAATGCTATGGAAATACTATGTCCTGTCAACGCGTAAACCTGTATTCCTATACCTATTCTACTTGATGCCGGTGCTGGTGCTGACATGTCTGCGCTACGCTGTGGGTCACGTCCCACACAACATACCGATCGTGGTGTACAACGGGGAGTACGATCACCCGGACCTCTCTCGTCAGTACATCGATGCCATCGATAGGGAACACCTGTTGATCACAGAGTCGCGCGACTTTGACGCCGCCTACCAGTCCGTAGTAAACGGCACCAACACTTTGATGATAGGTTTGGGCGCAAACTTTTCGTATGGGTTTGAGACTCGTATGTTAGACTACATCTCACTGGACGCCGATGACCTGGATGAAAGTAAAATTAAACTGTATGTGGACTTTACAAACCCCGCTATTACGGTGTATGTATTGAAGTACATTAAACAGGCATTGAATGAGATGTTGATCCAAAATAAGCACCGATTCGGTGAGAATGCCATGCGATTCATGCACGTGCTTCAGATAGAGGACCCGGTTTACGGCACTTATACGTTCTCCTTATCCAATCAAATTAGCCCCGGTATTATCATAGCGTTGGCCCACATATTACCCATGATTATAGCGGGTTTACAGATCATTAATGACCGCAAAAACAATAGTCTTGAGCGCATGCAATGTGCGGGTATTAAACCAATGGAGATATTTATCGCACAATTCATAGAGAATACGCTATTAATTGCCACACAATTGCTGTTAACTATGTTTATGGCATTTGTTGTCTTCAATAATGAACAAAACGGCAGTTATATTGAAGTCTATTTACTGCTATTTGTGACCGGATTACAGGGAATGGCGTTAGGGTTGCTCACCGGTATTGCAATGGCTGATGAGACCTCGTTTCTGGTAATCATTTATCTTTTTACTTCTAATGTAGAAATTAGACATTAAATATATATTTCAAAGTATTATATTATAGATTGAAATTAATTTATATTTAGGCTGGAGTAGCGTTTGTAATGCTACCCCTATGGATAACATCAGGCATATTATGGCCATTAGAGGCAATGCACCCGTATATCCAGAATATTGTTTTATTGGGACCTTTAACCAGGACAGTGGAGGCACTGCGCTTCATAATGCTACGATCTTGGAGCTACTCTAAGACCCAGGTGCTATATGGCTATATTACCTCATTGGTTTATGCGGCAATTTTAAATATTTTAAATATTTTATTATTAAATAATAATATTTCAGACATTTATTCTGCAATTATATCAACAAAATCACTCGATGTGTCTCATTCAAAATAATGATAAATAAGGCAAAATTTTAAAAATTCAATATCGTTAAGATAAATTAACTGATTATATGATATCTGGAAGGCCAGAATGAGACGTACCTCTGAAACATTGCTTTTATTTCTTCTTGAAACATTGCTTTTGTGTAAAGTTTACCAATAGCGAAAATAGCCAGGTCCATATAGAGTGCAATGGCAAATCAAGCAGTGCATAATTGGTAAATATCCAGTTGAAACAGTGCACCGACGTGGTCAACAAGAATACCCTAGTTATTATTATATTATATATATAATTTATTTATAGATTTAAATCCTCAATAAAAAGATTTTCAATTAAGCTGTATATACCGCATGAGAGTAAATAGTATGGCTGATCCGGCATTAATGACATAATCCTGGAAACGTGTCAAGTCTTGGCGTTGGAAATATCGGATCACTTGTTCCAAGATTACCAGAAACCCCACCACAGGTGTCAACTTTATTTGAGTTAAACATTTGATTTGTAAATTTTATTTAGATAATTACTATAAATATTCAAAGTATAATATACATATTATGCAAGAAATTTTGGTCTTTTATAGATTATTTTAATAATTCTTTAAAATACTATAGAAATAATTTTATTTATAGGAAAACCAATTAAATAACTTGCAATGTATCATTTTTATATTTATATAACTCAATCCTTCTTACAGGTTAATGTAATTTCATCTAAATCTTATGTTTAGTATAATAGTTTCATAATGATAGTTTAATCATAATTATTATTTTTATAATAAAAATTATCAGTTAAAATTATCATTCTTTTTATTACTTTTGAACTCAAATTGGTGCATTAAGAATATTGTATGATTCTTTGATAATAAAGTATTTTGGAACTTGTATATAAAGAATGTCATTAATAAATGAATAACCCCGATAACCGACTTTATATTAAAATAATTATAGTAATTTAGGTACCAGAATATTAATATTCTAGTAGGCTCGAATAGACTACTGTATTCATGATTTGGATTGCGAAACATATTATTGCAAACCTCAACCAAACCGGGGATTTAATTGATTTGCAGATTCAAATGACATTTTATTGCCCAGGGCTTATTAAGTTATTGTCAAGGATTTATTGGAGAAAATATTCATATATGATATATTTAACTATTTTTATAATTATTGTGCTTTTATATAATATAAAATTCTAAATTTATAAAATTAATTCTCATAATCTTTAAATATAATTAATTAATTAATAATCTAATTTGTTTGTAATAATTTATTAAAACTTTATTTTTAATGCATATACCCTTAATACCGTAATAGAATATAACGAACAGTAAATAAATTAATATAAAATAAATATTTTTTATAAAAATATAAAATAAATTATAATTATAATTAATATAAGTTAGTATAAAATAATTAAACTACTTCCTAATCAATTTCAAATTCAGTTTATTTATAGTGACACATATTATTGTTTTGTTAATAAAATTTTAACAAACCTGATTTATATTTATAATGATATTGGACTTTAAGAAATATTCTTGATGAATTTTGATAATTAAATTTAATATTATGTTAAATAATAAAATAGTTTACACTACTAATAAACTATAAGATACCAAAACAAAATATTTGGACTTACATTGACTTCATAATCGGGAACATCGATGGCGTTATCGTAAGAGGTCTCATAGGGAGACATAATATAGAAAAGTGACAAAAAGTCTTTAATCACTCGGACTGATGTGTCTTTGACACAGTGACCCATTGTGGTCACCGTTAGGTTGGTCTGGAGTACAGTATCCATAATGATAGCCGGCACACTTTACCTCAAATTACATACAAATACTTTCTTAAGTATGCATCCCTTGAATAATGATAAAAATATTGTTATATTATATATTAAGAATTTGATTGCAAAATCTTTTACATTTAAAACAGTGTATAAGTTTGATTAGTAATCAATAGCTTATACCTGTAATAATTGGTTAGGTATCCTTCGTATGACTAAAGTTGTAGCGAATACCTGTCCCCTGAATCTGGTTTTGGCATTCACTATCAGCAATACAACTGTCAATACTATTTTGAATACTTGTTTTAATAGCGAAATAGCAAGTTTTGAATGCTATTCAAGTATTTTTTTGTTTTATTTTATGATTCTTTATAATAATTTTTGTACTATACGTTAAGTTAATTTCAATAAAGAAAAATTTGTAGTATTAATACAATAAAACCTATTTAACATTAACGCCTTGTTTGAATTTGAATTGTTATTTTATTGTTATGTTTTGAATTTTAATATTTCATAAATAGTATGTATTTGTAAATTTTGTAATATTGTTTAAGATTATAAATAGATACAAGTTTATTTCCATAAAAATATACTTTAAATAGATTTTAGTGTGTATTCATTAATTTTTCCAACTAATAGTATCTAAGTACTAAAATTTTCCAGAGAGACCAATAAGTTTGTTTGTATGAGCCCTCCCTTTCAGACACTTGAATGCGTGACTAATATACCGTAAAATTGTATTGTTTTTCACTCTTTCAAATCAACACATCTATTGATTTGTATAATTAATGAAAAAATTAACATTTCACACATCTACTGCAATTATTTTTGTGCTAACTTTAATCAATAACATGTTTGGGAGAATAAATTTTAATATCCTTCATCATAATGTAATAATATAAATTAATTCCTAATTGTAATAGAATTAAATAATATTTTTGATATAACATTTATGCAATACAGTTATTTTAATTAAAAGAATATGACTAAATATTAAATCAATTTTTAAACGTATTATTTAGTAGGTATTAATTGATAAGGTAAATATTAAATATTATTTCTAAGAAAATATTTTTTTATTAAATTAATATTATTCAAATATGATTAGTACAAAAATAATTTATAAATCTATTCACTGATTGCCCAGACAAAAATCAATTCATTGACGACATTCAAAATATAGCAATATTTTAGAAAACAATTGCTAAATAATGTAAATCGTAAACGACCAGTGCATTGAAACTACCTGTCCTTCAATTTAATAAAAAACTTTTATTTTAAAAACTTTTGTTCATAAAAATAAAAATAGTTTATTTATGACTTAAAACGACTTTTCCCCTAAAATTATTACTTTCTCTCAAAATTCAAATAATATAATATAAATGTAATATCAAGAAATAGAAATATTTTTTAAATCATAAAACGTTATACATCCAAATAATATAATACAAAATATAACCAACACACATTAATAAAACTTAATTTTTGTAATGTGTGCGCATATTTGCCTGATTAATACTAATTATTAATACAATTATACATTTTCAACATTTTTTGTTAAATTAATTAAGTAGCTAAATATTTCAATTCATTTTTATGAATAATGATTTTTATTTATTTTTATTGTATTGAAATTTTTAATGATTAAAATTAAATTAACAAAAAAATCTCCAGGGATTTATAGTGCAAATGAAATGCAAATTAATTTCAAAACAAAATTAAAAGTAGTTTTGAGTTTGCAAAACATTGAATTTAGTTATGATTAATTATAGGTAAATGTAAATAATTTTAAAAATACTGTATATTATAACTAAAAATATTTTTATTTACAAAAATTTACTTCATTATATTGTATAAATATTATAAAGTACTGTACACATTAAACAAATAATCCGATATAAAGAACTATTAATTTAATGTAATATAGATTTTAATCTAGATATTTTATTATTAAAAATAAAAATAATAAAAATCCTGAGAAAATGCGTCAGAAAATAGCACTGATTAACATAAACTCAAAATAAATTTTGTAATAAATCTGTAAATATTATTTTTTAAATATTCAATGTATTTTTTAAACCTTTTATGAAATATATGAAAAGGGGTTTCAAATGAATCATAAGGAAATAAATGGTAAAATTCATGACAATTCACTAGAAAGTCATTTTCTGATTAGAATTTTAAATTTTAAATTCTGAGCATTATATTCATGTGACTTGGGATATGATTTTATGACATGATCACGTGTTATACTGTAGTTAATAAAATAATTTTAAAACTTTTGTATAGGATATGTAAAAATAATTTTATTATGGGATTATTTTTGAGCATTTGTTTAAAAATAGTTTTTTGATAAATCTTTTTATTACTTTATTAATTATATCATATTATTATATTATATATATTATATATCATATAATCAGTTAATTTATCTTAACGCTATTGAGTTTTAAAAATTTTGCCTTAATTAGCATTATTTTGAATGAGACACAGAGAGTGATTTTGTTGATATAATTGCAGAAAAAATGTCTGAAATATTATTATTTAATAATAAAATATTTAAAATATTCAAAATTGCCGCATAAACCAATGAGGTAATATAGCCATATAACACCTGAGTCTTAGAGTAGCTCCAAGATCGTAGCATTATGAAGCGCAGTGCCTCCACTGTCCTGGTTAATGGTCCAAATAAGACAATATTCTGAATATACGGGTGCATTGCCTCTATAGGCCATAATATGCCTGATGTTATCCATAGGGGTAGCATTACAAACGCTACTCCAGCCTAAATATAAATTAATTTTAATCTATAATATAATACTTTGAAATATATATTTAATGTCGAATTTCTACATTAGATGTAAAAAGATAAATGATTACCAAAAACGAGGTCTCATCAGCCATTGCAATACCGGTGAGCAACCCTAACGCCATTCCCTGTAATCCGGTCACAAATAGAAGTAAATAGACTTCAATATAACTGCCGTTTTGTTCATTATTGAAGACAACAAACGCCATAAACATAGTTAACAGCAATTGTGTGGCAATTAATAGCGTATTCTCTATGAATTGTGCGATAAATATCTCCATTGGTTTAATACCCGCACATTGCATGCGCTCAAGACTATTGTTTTTGCGGT